AAAACCCATTTCTGAAGAAGGGTCTAGGCCCGAAACGTCAGCCTTCCTGCTCTTCTGATGCTGCTTGGCCTGCTGTGTTCATCCAGCTCTACACCTTGTTATCTCAGATTCTCCAGCATCTGCAGTTCTTACTATCTCCTAGTTTTGTCCTGTTCTTTAATAGCTTTCAATATACATTACCTCACATATTATCAACTGAAAATGGTAGTCAATAGGAAGGAAAATTATCATTTTCTGTGTATTTTTGATTGATAAAGTTTGATTATTAGGTATGCATAGGTGATGTGAGGTAGAGGAGAACCCTGGGGGTTTGAAATGCTATCAAGGTTGCGTCTACACATACATCCATTACTTGAAAGTGTAAATATATACAAAATCATCAGTGATGCCTAAACAACATGTAATACCATTCACTCTGATAAACATTAACCATTTCTTCATATACTTCTTTAAATCTTCCTTCTTTCATTTGCCTCAATGAGTGGAATTCCAACAACAGTCAAGAAGCTCAACATAATCCAGGCCAAAGCAGTCCACTGACTAGCACCCCATCTACAAAATTTAACATTCACTCCATTTATCATCAAAGCTGTGTGAATGATCTACAAGATACACTGCAACAACTCACCAAAGCTCCTTAGACAGCACCTTCCAAACCCACACCATCTGCCACATGAAAAGACAAGGTCAGCAATGTGTGCCCCTGCAATTTCCCCTCCAAGCCACTCATCATACTGACATGAAAATATATATCTGCTGCTTCAGTGTCAATGGGCAAAATCATGAAACTCCCTTTCCACCAGTACTGTAAGTATACCAACACCCTAACAGCTGTAGCAGTTCAAGAAGGCAGCTCACCATCACTTTCCGCAGGGCAATTAAGGGTAGGCAATAAATGATGGCCCAGCCAGTTACACCCTCATTGCATAAACAACAAAAAAGTTTAAAAACTTAGACCTTACCACAAATTGAGCAGAGTACTGCCTTTGTTTATAAGGATACTAATTATGCAATGTTTAGTCAGACCCAAATACAGCAATGATATTTGAGATTATATTTAATCTACTTAAATACAATTCCTTGACATATCAATATATATTCTAACTTAACATTTTTACTGATCATATGATTTGAAATTCAATTCAATCTGTGCTGATATTGGTTCTTTTCAAGCTGTTCATTTTTTTTTGTTTCTTTTGAACTAATGGCAATGATTCTTACCATGTTGAAGAGTTTAGGTGAAAGTACTCTATCAGGCATTTTGAGGGGAAAAAAATAACCTTGTTATAAATCCTCATGATTGAGCACTACATGATAAATATATGATGAAGTTGCATATATTTAAAATAATATATTTCCTTTTCAAGTAAATTATATTTAGGGAAATAATGTGTAGATCACCAAATGTCCGAAATTTGGGTACAGTCATAGATCATGATAAGCGTAATACTTGGTCCTCTACCAGTCTTGTCTAAATTAATCCCAGCAAACAATAAGGTGGAAGACACATGGTTTATCCAACTAGAACAGGCAATCAGATAGAATATCAGTGGTCTTGGAGACAGCGGTTTTGTAAAATATATTTACTCAGGCACATGTGAAAAATGCCACTAGGTTTTTGTCAAGGAGTTGCATATTCAAAGAAAGAAAAACACTACAAGAGAAAATGTGAATGTAAAGTCTTCTGTAATTGAATTTTTTGTAGCTTGTCAAAGTGTGTCAAGCGAACCTTTTCCAGCCTGATCTGTGCTTCTATCTGTTCCAGAATTCTACTTCCAGAAATTCAAAGTTTACAAAAACAGAGCAATTTCATATTAAGTACATACATACCTACAAGATAACATACCTTGGTATTATGTATAAATGTAACATTTATAAAAGGTAATAAGTAGGTCAACCAGTGCATGTAATGTCCTGAAACAGATTGAAAGAGTTTGCCCTGGAAATCAAGTAAGGGTAAAATTTGTGGCATGGGGCCTCACAAAATTTACCTTGTGAAATGAAACACAGCAGATTTTCCCTCATTTCATAGTTAACATCTGTCATTAAAAAATAAGTTTTACTAGATCACAAAAGAACAGTTACATTGTTTGCAGCTCATATGAGAATCTTACGGACATGAGGAATGTGTTTGTCAACTTCAATTGCCTGGTAGAGTCTGTGTAATTTTATTTATATTTGCCTATCTTATGTCATCAAAATAATAAACAACAGGGCACATCTTTGAAAATGTTCTTTTCATACCTTCTCCAGCACTTCATCTGTCATTTCAATGATAATCACGAATAATACATGCATCCAGCTGTGCAGTCTGCAAATCTTAGTGAAAATAGATCAAAGAACTTGTACAGGGCATTTAATTGTTCAGAATCCGCTGTAGTAGTGTTTTTCTGAAATTCACTAAACTTGCTTTAGTGAGATGTTTTGTCCAGAGGTTCCGAAATGTTTTCAGATGTTCCCAAATGAGCACTTCCCTGCACACCCCCACCCCGCCCAAAGCATTTTGCAAAAAAAGCTAAGATGAGAAGAAACGTCTTCACTCAGCGTGGGGTTTTTAGAGTATGGAATGCACTGCCTGCAAGTGTAGTGAAAACAGGTTCAGTTGAACCATTCAAGAGGGCATTGGATGATTATTTAAATAGAAACAATTTGCAGGATTATAGGAAAAGGGCAGGAGATTGGAACAAAGGTAAAATGCTCAAAGAGCCAGCTCAGACACATTGGGCTAAATGGCCTCCTTCCACACAAAAATTCTGTGTCTCACACTCATGTCAACCACCGCCCCCCCACCCCCCCTTTTTGAGAATGGATGAAATTAGTCTTCATGAATCGTGATAACAAATCAGAATTTTTTTTACTGCACACGATTTTCTTATCTGTTTAAGTCAATGGCCCTGCACAGAGTAAATCAAGCTGTTGATCCAATCAGTTCTACACTCCTATATGTTTGATAGTATTATTTTCTTAGCTAATAAAACATATTATTTAAGATAGAAAGTGAAACGATACAGCACTAAACAACTGAATAAACTGGATTTAAACTCACAACTAAGGTTGGGGAGTCCATGGACAGGTTATAGAATGGTTCTCAAACTGGCTATAAAACAAAATTGAAAGTAGGGATTAGAGCTAATTATTTGGACTGGCAAAAATTAGAAAATGATATTTCACAGGATCGGGGACCAATATTGTTATCAGGGGCCAATATTGTTATCAGGGAATTGCAAATACAATTCCAAAATCTGTGGAAGACATCATATTGAAGTTGTTTCCTTATACAAAGAAAGAATGCAACAAAGTATAAGACAATAATAAACGTGGTGAAATGAAAGATGAATTTCAATATAGATCAGTACAGGATGCTGCATTTTGCTGAGAAGAATAGGAAGGCCACAAACTGCTTGGATAATATGAATCTAAATGGATAAAGGGGTAAGAGATATGAGGTACAGATTCACAAATCATCAAAAGTCGTGGAGCAAGTTACAAGGACATTTGAAATAAAGCAAATAAAACATGGAACTAATTCTAGACAACTGAAAAGCAGAAAAGTGTTATGAAATTTATATAGAAACTTGGTCAAACTACTCATGTACATGAATAGGACTGGTCTACATATGATTGAAAAAAAGGTATAGTAGAATTTTAATGAGGTGAAAAACAAGGATTAACAAAGGATAATGCCAAAATTGAAAGGATATATTATCAGTAATTCAAGAAAAAGTCTTTACACAAAATAGTGGTAAAAATATGCATTACACTGCCCCCAAGTAGATGTGGCAAATAACAGATGGATCTAAGGGGAAGTACATCAGGGAGTACAGGGACAGCATGATGTGACTAAATGAAGACGAATGAGAGGGAGTTGCATAAATGCCAGAAAAGACCTGTTACACTGAATTGTTTGCTTCTGTGTTGTAGATTCAATGTAACACTTGTTACAAACATGAAACTTGTAAGATTGTTATAATTTAAACTATTTTTGTAATTTAAAGTAATACAC